CAGGAGGTCCGGTGGCCATCATATTTATCCACTGGTCAGTGCATTCAAGAGCTCATTATCATTATATTTGTATAGGTTACTATCACCCTATACCATAATGATTTATACCTTAATAAATAATTTTACATTACTACACCATGAGCGTTTTCATCTCTATTACCTGGCACTGAGCCTTCACATCTCAGCCCTGCTTTCCAGGAGTCCGCCCAGGCTGGAGGATTTGGGAAATAGGTCCAGACCATCATCCCTGGCAGCTGTCACCTCATTAACCACCAGAGGATACCTTTATCATCAGGCTGTACCTTCACGGGACCTCTGGCTACATGGAATTTCTATGTGCACATTAAATTGCACTTCCGGTGAGTGGGCAATTTTTCTACACCTTCGTGTTAGGATGCTGGAATATACCCATTTGGATTGAAGTCATATATACTCCATCACTGGAATATACCTATTTGGATTGATATCATATTACCTCGGACTGTTTACCATTCAGTTTACAGGACCTTTTCTACTTTTTGTCATATCTATGACAGTGTGTTTATCTGTATAGCACTGCACACCCCATTTTTATGTTATATTCCTAGAAAGGTTTTGTGGTTCCTTTTTGTGCATTAGCAGCTTTATATGGTGCGCTCGCTAGCTCACACATTTATACCTTATATCATACTACAATACAGCTGAGCAGCACCGCATTCATTATGGACATTTTCGAATTTAGACAAAAAAGGCTTAATATTCCAGAGGACACCTTTTCTGTTGACAAGGATACTGAAAACATTAGTGGCATATTTTTACATTTACAAAATATTACCTCTTCAGAAATAAGGACATTATGGGACATATCATTACTAGATAGATATATAAAGGATAACATGGTCCCCAGATCTCTGAGGTGGGAAGTCCCCCCAGAAACCGGTGACATTAATAGTAAACAAGAGTGGTACCATTTTTTTAACAATATGGGCCTTGACCTCTTGAAATTCCTTATAATTAGGAAAAAGAAGAAACTTACATATTTAGATAATGAAATAAACAAAATTAGAGAACAACTCACACCGTTTAAGGGTACACCTGAATACACTACAGAATCCATAAAACTGCAAGCACACCTAGAAGGTGTAGAACGTACACAGAAAAACAAAAAACGTAAGATTTTCCAGGGACACTAGTGATTACCAAAATAAACAAGTATTCAAGTGGCAAATTCCCAAAATAGATACCCCGCAGGATAATTTTCCTTCAACCCCCATGAACAAATCCAACATACATGGTACTCCCCACACAAGGGAGAATAGTCATTATACTTATAGACCATCCAGGAGACCCATGACTAACAACAATGTCACATCCGTCCCCATTCAAAATAGATTTGAACCTCTATAATATGGAGGATGAGAATATTGGCTCCAGAGATATGAGATGGCACCCAGTTCAATCTAAGAAACCACGCCATAACAACAATTTTCCCCATCAACAACAAAGTAATCATAATAACAACAACAATTTTTCCCATCAACAACAATATAGACAACCATGGAATCAAAATTACTACCATAGTACACCTAGGAAAACTCAAGGTCCCCGACATCCTAGTTCCCATCATAATGGACAATCTTATCACTCTCCACAGAGAAGAGTAACTTATCCCAATACTCATAATCATGGTAATTATAACAACCATAACAAAGGCCATAATCATCATCAGAATGACCCAAATAACTATAACCATCATAATAACAATTATAATATGGATTCACAACCACGTCCACATTTTTTAGGAGGGGGATGCACAAGAAAAAGAAGTGCAAGTACAGAGGATGTAGAGGAGGAAAGAGGGTTAACAGACCCAAAGAAAAGGAGAACATAACGGGTAAAAGCATTTACAACCTAAGTGGCACTTCCTTGACAAACTTAAGGAACTTAAGGTTTTAGACAAAGGCCTAAAGTATGCACCTAAAACAAAACTTAATAAGTTTCAAACCTATGTGGACATTCACAAGTTCACAAGGAAGTTGTCAATCAAAAGACACTTTATGAGTAAGCCCATAGGATCCAATAATCTAACCAGTAACTCCCATCATTCCAATCTTAGAAACGCATCTCTATTTTTTTTTTTTTTATAAATATTTATTAGATTTCAATCAGATATAATTAACAAACATTTTCTTCATAAAATAATAATTATATTCCTCATGATTTATTTATTTCCCACAACCCGAGTCCCCCCCTAAGCCCCTCCCCACCCACACCTATCCCCGTATCCCCCCTCCCCCCTCCATCCCGCTCTGCCATTTCTTTTCAAGTCTGAAAGAGGGAGAAAGAATAAATAAATATATAGCACTATCCCCTTTTTTTTTTTTTTTTCTAAAACTTATTTCTAAAAAAAATCATTGTTCGTCAAGAGGTGTAAATCAACTACATTTCACTTTCTTGTCTAAATACTTCCCATTTTCCCCACTTTTTATGGTACATCTCCATCCCATCTATGTGTGTATAATAAAGTCTTTCCATCTCACATAACTGACTCGTTCTGATCAACCAATCTTCTTCCGTTGGGACCTCCCTTTTTTTCCAAAACTTAGGAATCAAGCTTTTAGCTGCACTCAGAAAGTGCCAAATCCCTGAGTCCTTATATGATCTTACTGTGAGCTCAGAGATATGAAGGACACATAACTCTGGGTCCAATCTAATATTGATCTTAGTAATTTTCCTCATTAAATGGACGATTTTCCCCCAGAACACCTGTATCTTTGAACATTCCCACCAAATGTGATATAGTGTACCCACTTCTCCACAGCCTCTCCAACATAGTGGAGAGTTCTCCCCGTTCATCTTGTGCTCCACACTTGGTGCAATGTGCCATCTAACTAAACACTTATAATTTAATTCCACTTCTCTCATACTAATATTTTCGTGAATTAATCTAAACATTTTCCTCTGTTGCTCCTCACTAATCTCCCTCCCCATATCTTTTCCCCATTTCTCTATATAAATTAATTTTGTGTCAGTGTCTAGTGCCGTTAAGATTCTATATATTTTAGCAACACCATGTCTCCCATCTCCCCTTGTGTCTAATAAACTTTCAAATAGATTCCAATCCTTTTTTGTTCTCACCGGTTTTGGGAGACTCTCAAAAAAGTGTTTTAATTGGTGGTATCGAACCTCGTCCATTCTACTAAAAACCTCTCCCTTTAATTTCTCCATCTCTCTATAAAATCTTAATTCCTCACCCACCATTATATCTCTCAGTTGCGCGTCCTGTTTAATAATCCAATTCCCCGTGATATCTTCCTTCCCCGGTGCAAAGTAATCTGTATTTTTAAGTGGCATTAACTGTGAATTAAAAACCCATCCCCTTTGTCTGTGTAACATCTGCCAAACTTTTAAAACAATAGAAGTGTATGTACTTGTGTTAACATCTAGTCCGCGATGATGTATAGGTAACCATATAATTCTATTCAGATTGGACCCACTCAGTATATTTTCAATTTTGACCCAACTTTTCCCTGGGTTATGAGTCCAGTCAAAGATTCTCGCGATCAAGGTTGCTTTATAATATCTCTTAAAATCTGGGAGCCCTAAGCCTCCTCTCTCTTTAATTCTAGTCAGTGTTTCATAGCATATCCTCGTTTTTTTTTTTCCTCCATATATACCCCAAGAGCATTTTCCTTAGTGTCCTAAAAAAAACCTCTGGAAGTTTAATTGGGATCATTTGAAACTTGTATAGGACTTTGGGCAAAATTATCATTTTTATCAGATTTATACGGCCCATCCAAGACGGATTTCCAGTTCCCAACCTCTTCAATTCCTCTTTTATCTCATTTAAAAGTGAAATGTAATTAATCTTATACATATTATTAATTGAGGCAGACAATTTTTACCCCAAGATACTTTAGTTCTTTCTCTCTCCACACAAAGGGGAATTCTTCTTGTATTTTTTCTTTTTCACTATTTTTAAGATTTATATTTAAAATTTCTGATTTTGTTGGATTAATTTTTAAGTTTGATATTTCCCCATACTCTTTCAGTGTTTTCATTAAGTTTGGTAGAGAAATACGAGGGTTTCCAACGAAGAACAATAAGTCGTCCGCATAGGCCGCTACCTTATGTTCTCTATCACCTATCTTTATTCCTTTTATATTGATGTTCTTTCTTATCATTGACAACAATGGTTCCAGGGACAAAACAAACAATAATGGGGATAGGGGGCATCCCTGTCTAGTTCCATTTGACATCCTAAAGAGCTCCGATCTTCCTCCATTTACCAAGACAGTGGCTGTGGGGCCTTTATATAAATTACCAATCCACTTCCTAATTCTATCCCCCAAACCCCAACTCCACCAAGGTGTCCATCATAAAGCTCCAATTCACTCTATCAAATGCTTTCTCTGCATCAATTGACAATAATATTACTGGGGTCTTCCCTTTTTTCCCCTCTTGTATTAGCAACAATGATCTTAATCCGTTGTCTCTACCCTCCCTTCCCGGGACAAATCCCACCTGATCCCCATGTATCCATTCTGGCAACAAGACCTTAAGCCTGTTTGCCAGAACTTTCGCAAAAAATTTTTGTCTACATTCAGCAGCGCAATAGGTCTATAGCTTGCACACTGAGAAGGGTCTTTATCTTCCTTGTGAATTAAAACTATATTGGCCTGTAAGGACTCTCCCTAATTTCCAACTTATCTCCAAGGGCGTTCATATATGTCTGCAATCTAGGTATTAATAACTCTTTATATTTTTTATAATATTTTACAGTAAACCCGTCTGGGCCCGGACTTTTCCCCACCACTGTATCCTTCAATGCTATTTCTATTTCTTCTGACGTGATTTCTGAATCCAAAGAATTCAGTTGAATTTTACTTAATTTTGTTAGACCTGCATTTTTTAAAAATATACTTCTTTTTTCTTTATTTACTGTATCAATGTTATTGGGGGTGTCCTGGGGTATTATGTTGTATAATTCACTATAATAATTAGAGATGAGCGAATCGAACCTGGCGAAGTGGAATTCGTTTCGAATTTCAGGAAAAATTCGATTCGCATCGAATCCGAATTTTAGCAAACTTCGGGTGCACGAATCAAATTTTTCCCGATCAGCCGGCAAAAGTGTCACTGCAGAGAGCTCCGCTATTTCTGACAGTTCTGACAGTTCATTTACAGCGGTTGAAACATTGTATCTATTTTGTTTCCATTTAGGATACAGATGTTTTTATTCGGAAATAAATAGATACAATGTTTCAACCGCTGTAAATGTGAAGGAACTGTCAGAGAACTGTCAGAAATAGCGGAGCTCTCTGCAGATACACTTTTTGCTGTACTGGAATACTTCTTCTTTTCATTCTTCTTCTTCTTTTCATTCTTCTTCTTCTTCTTCTTCTTTTCATTCTTCTTTTCATTCTTCTTCTTTTCATTCTTCTTCTTTTCATTCTTCTTTTCATTCTTCTTCTTCTTCTTTTCATTCATCTCTTCTTCTTTTCATTCTTCTTTCATTCTTCTTCTTCTCTTTTCATTCTTCATTTCTTCTTCTTTTCATTCTTCTTCTTCTTCTTCTTTTCATTCTTCTTTTCATTCTTCTTCTTCTTCTTTTCATTCTTCTTTTCATTCTTCTTCTTCTTCTTTTCATTCTTCTTCTTCTTCTTTTCATTCTTCTTTTCATTCTTCTTCTTCTTTTCATTCTTCTTCTTTTTCATTCTTCTTCTTATTCTTTTCATTCTTCTTCTATTTTTATTTTCATTCTTTTCTTCTTCTTCTTTTCATTCTTCTTCTTCTTCTTTTCATTCTTCTTCTTCTTCTTTTCATTCTTCTTTCCATTTCTTCTTCTTATTCTTTTCATTCTTCTTTCATTCTTCTTCTTCTTCTTTTCATTCTTCTTTTCATTCTTCTTCTTATTCTTTTCATTTCTTTCTTCTTCTTCTTTCATTCTTTTCTTCTTTTCATTCTTCTTTTCATTCTTCTTCTTTTCATTCTTCTTTTCATTCTTCTTCTTCTTTTCATTCTTCTTCCTCTTCATGTCATTCTTCTTCCTTCTTCTTTTCATTCTTCTTTTCATTTTTCTTCTTCTTCTTTTCATTCTTCTTCTTTTCATTCTTCATTTGTCATTCTTCTTCTTCTCTTTTCATTCTTCTTCTTTTCATTTTCTCTTCTTTTCATTCTTCTTCTTCTTCTCTTCTTTTCATTCTTCTTTTCATTCTTCTTCTTCTTCTTTTCATTCTTCTTTTCATTCTTCTTCTTCTTCTTTTCATTCTTCTTCTTCTTCTTTTCATTCTTCTTTTCATTCTTCTTCTTCTTTTCATTCTTCTTCTTTCATTCTTTCTTCTTATTCTTTCATTCTTCTTCTCTTATTTTCATTCTTCTTCTTATTCTTTTCATTCTTCTTTTTCATTCTTCTTCTTCTTTTTCATTCTTCTTCTTCTTCTTTTCATTCTTCTTTCCATTCTTCTTCTTATTCTTTTCATTCTTCTTTTCATTATTCTTCTTCTTCTTTTCATTCTTCTTTTCATTCTTCTTCTTATTTCTTTTCATTCTTCTTCTATTCTTTTCATTCTTCTTCTTCTTTTTCATTCTTCTTTTCATTCTTCTTCTTTTCATTTTTCTTTTCATTCTTCTTCTTTCTTTTCATTCTTCTTCCTCTTCTTGTCACGCGTCTTCTTCTTCTTCTTTTCATTCTTCTTTTCATTTTTCTTCTTCTTCTTTTCATTCTTCTTCCTTTTCATTCTTCTTTTCATTCTTCTTCTTCTTTTTCATTCTTCTTCTTATTCTTTTCATTCTTCTTCTTATTCTTTTCATTCTTCTTTTCATTTCTTCATTCTTCTTCTTCTTCTTCATTCTTCTTCTTCATTCTTCTTTTCATTCTTCTTCGCTTCTTCTTTTCATTCTTCTTCTTCTTCTTCTTGTCATTCTTCTTTTCATTCTTCTTCTTCTTCTTTTCATTCTCTTCTTCTTCTTCTTTTCATTCTTCTTCTTGAAGATTCTTTTCATTCTTTATTCTTATTCTTTTCATTCTTCTTTTCATTCTTCATTCTTTTTCTTTTCATTCTTCTTTTCTTCTTTTCATTCTTCTTCTTCTTTTCATTCTTCTTCTTCTTCTCTTTCATTCTTCTTCATTCTTCTTTTCGGAATTCTTCTTTTCATTCTTCTTCTTCTTCTTTTCATTCTTCTTCTCCTTCTTTTCATTCTTCTTTTCATTCTTCTTCTTCTTTCTTTTCATTCTTCTTCTTCTTCTTTCATTCTTCTTCTTCTTCTTGTCATTCTTCTTTTCATTCTTCTTTTCATTCTTTCATTCTTCTTCATTCTTCTTCTTTTCATTCTTCTTTTCATTCTTCTCATTTTTCATTCTTCTTCTTATTCTTTTCATTCTTCTTTTCATTCTTCTTCTTCTTCTTTTCATTCTTCTTCTTCTTCTTTTCATTCTTCTTCTTCTTCTTCTTTTCATTCTTCTTCTATTCTTTTCATTCTTCTTCTTCTTTTCATTCTTCTTTTCATTCTTCTTCTCTTCTTTTCATTCTTCTTCTTCTTCTTGTCATTCATTCTTCTCTTCTTCTTGTCATTCTTCTTTTCATTCTTCTTCTTCTTCTTTTCATTCTTCTTCTTCTTTTCATTCTTCTTTTCATTCTTTCTTCTTCTTTCTTTTCATTCTTCTTCTTATTCTTTTCATTCTTCTTTTCATTCTTCTTCTTTTCATTCTTCTTCTTCTTCTTTTCATTCTCGTTCTTCTTCTTTTCATTCTTCTTTTCATTCTTCTTCTTCTTCTTCTTCTTCTTCTTCTTCGTCGTCCCCGTGACTGCCCAAATGATGTGAAGTTGTGCGGTGATTCTAAGATCGACGGCACTCATCTGCATGTCATAGGATGGAATGACAGTATTATTTCTCTTCCCCAGCAGACTCCAAGGGCATTTAAATTAAAGGTACAGTGTTCTGCACAAATATAAAGGCTCTCTGAAGCCTAGAAAACCCTTTAAATAAGTTAAATTCGCGGCGAATAAATTCGCATCAAATCGAATTTCTCCCGCAAATTCGGCGAATCAGCCGAATCGAATTTTTGAATAATTCGCTCATCTCTAATAATAATCTTTAAATACTCTAGCGATTCTTTTAGTTGAGTGGACCATTTCACCCTTGGAGTTTCTTATTTTTTCTATATAATTCCTATTTTTCTTTTCTCTCAATGCCCTCATTAGGTGTTTTCCTGGTCTATCTCCCCATCTATACCTTTCACTTGATAATTTATTAAAGACTCTTCTTTTTTCCTCCTCCATTATCCTCTCTAATTCATCTTTCTTTTTTGTTATCTTCTGCCTTAGTTCTTTCAAGATATTCCTTTTATGGGCCTGTTCCAGATCAGCTATTTCATTTAAAAGTCTATTGATCTTTTCTCTCCTTTCTCTTTTCTTTTTTGCCCCTATTGCAATAAGTAATCCTCTGATATAGGCTTTATGGGCTTCCCACAATGTTGCGACCGAAACTTCCTCAGTGTCATTCTCTTCAAAATATCTTTCAATTTCTGTTTTAATCTTTTGGTCGACCTCCTCATCCAAAAGAAGTGCTTCATTCATCCGCCACACAAAACCACCTCTGTCTTCACTACCCCATCTTAACTTCATTGCAACCGGAGAGTGGTCTGAGATAGAACTCCCTCCAATCATAACCTCTACCACGGAGTCTATAAATTGATGTTCTACCAATACATAATCCAATCTGGAGTAAGTCTCGTGAACATGTGAATAAAATGTATAATCTCTATCCTTCATATGCCTAATTCTCCATATATCCACCAGCTGACACTCATTTAATGATTTCTTTAATAATCTCAAGGACCTATACTCCTCTTTCCTCACTTGGGAGGTAGTATCCAGCCGTGGATCCATACAAAGGTTAAAATCCCCGCTACTATCAATCGACCTCTTTTAAAATCCATCAGCCTCTGCAATACTTCCCTTAGGAATATCTCTGGTTTCTTATTTGGGCAATATATACTAGCCACTGTACAATCAATATCCTGCAACTTACCCCTTAGGAACAAAAACCTGCCCTCTGGGTCTGTTATTCTCTTCTCCACATCAAACCTAATATTTTTTGCAAACCCTATAGCTACCCCTTTTGCTCTTCTAATTGGTGAGTCCGCATAATACCATGTCGGAAAATATCTTGAGCGCAGCCCAATCTTAGATTCCAAATCCAAATGTGTCTCCTGCAAAAAAAAACCACTGAGGCTGTCCTGTGTTGTAACTCCTTCAATAATCTAAATCTCTTTCCCGGGCAGCTTAGTCCCTTTACATTAAAGGTTACAAACTGAACTTATTCCATGTTGGCCTCCTCTTTCTTTTCTCTCTCTTTCCTCTACCCGTTTCTCTTACCCTTACCCCTCCTATGCAAAGTATTACCCATCCATCCCCCCCACTCCCCATCCCCCCCCCCCCTCCTCCCCCCCACATCCCCCCCTCCCCCCCTCCCCTTCTCCTCCAGGCCTCCTCTGCCTATGGATCTTTATCCACCTTAGATCCCTACCTCAGGGGTTCAACTCCTCCCATGACCGCACTCCCCCCCTCCTCCTCCCCCGTGTCCCTTTATCCATTGCTTCTCTATTTCTTTTTCTAACCGGCTGCCAATTTTCTTCCTCCAAATTATATAACTCTCCCTCCTCCCCTTCCCAACCCGGGATCTCTAGTTTCTGTATGCCAAATTTATCACAGAAATCCCCCACATCTTCTGGGACCCTCAGGACCGCTGTAATTCCTTCCCTCCAGCCAATTAAACCCGCTGTACGACCCCATCTATAGTTCACATTATGCTTTTTCAATACTTCCAATAGGGGTTTCAGTGATCTCTTTTTCCGCAAAGTCTCTGCTGTTAAGTCCGCAAATATTTGGATGTTTTTCCCTTCATATACAATACTTGTTCTTCCTTTCACCTTTTTCCATATCTCTTCTTTATCACCGTAATTATGAAATTTAACAATTATGTCTCTTGGTTTCTCTACTCCTTTTTCTCGTTGAAACCTCCCTATCCTATATACGTCATCCAGTTTACATATCGCCATGTCCTGATTATCCATTATGAAGGTCAA